ATCCGTCGCTGAAAGTATCCCTCGCAAATCCGTCGCTGATATCTCTTGCTGATCCGTCGCTGATAGCATTACCTACGAGCATTTGACCGATGTAGTATCAACGACGGATTACCCTTTTAACGACGGATCAGCGACGGATTACCCTTTTAGCGATGGATTTGCGAGGGAATTTTCCTCGCTGATACTCTGCATTTTTGTAGTGATCTAAGAAACATTGTTGCACACAGGACAATCTTCCACTCATCTTCACAACGGAGCGTGCATGGAGTTCCGCTTCAGGATGATTGCTACAAAGTCTCAATTGACAGAAAAATACAACCAACTGCATTTTTACCCATCCATCATCATCTRGTGTAACCCAATATAACCCAATGTAACCAAAATGAGTCATCGTGACATTACCTAAATGTAACAAAATATGAACAATTATAACCCATATCATCCAATGTAACCCAACATGAGCAGTTGTAACAAATATCTCTAATTGTATCTAGTACCATACACGGCTTCTCCTCCGTATCAACCAACCGAACAACATCAACCAACGGTGCCAATACCTGACAAGCAAGATAAATATTGTCCCAAAACTCTTRCCTAGCTATTATTCGTTCAATTCTTTTTCCGATGGGTTTCTTGGCAAAGTCACTCTTCCTCCATTGTTCAGAAACAAATAGCACTTGGAGATGATGTCGATTCTCATGGATGCTCTGAATGGTGTAGAATTGTGTTGCGAACCTTGTAACACATGATCGATGCAGTTCTCTATTTTTAGTAAGCATTCGCATCATATTCAAAATCCTTCCGTGGTTATAAATATAAACCACTACCGCTCTCGCATCAGCTAACACACTTTTAATCTTCAGAATTTTCTCTCCGACATCTCCTATCATAAGATTCACGCAATGTGCTGCGCATGGTGTCCAAAACATCTGAGGATGTTGTTCTTCCAAGATTTTTCCAGCAGCTTTAAAGTTGGACCCATTATCGGTGACAAACTAGTATAAGTAAAAAACAAACAATTAGTCACTACTTCAATATATGTGTGTGTAGAATAATGTTAATATTTCAATAGAATATTTATTTGTTACCTGCACGATGTTCTCCTCTCCGACATCCTCTATAACCTCATTGATCATCTGTACAATTAATTGGGCATCTTTCACATGCTCCGATGCATCAATTGATTTCAAAAAAATTGTCCCTTGTGGACAATTGACCAAAAAATTGATCAAGCTTCTCCCTTTCCCGTCTATCCAAAAATCGGACATAATAGTGCATTTACTCTTCTTCCAGTGTGAACGAAAGGAATCCACAAACTTGTTGGTGTTCTCAAGTACATCTTTCAACAATGTGACCCAAATATTATGATAACTTGGAGCCGGCATGCCTAACAACGATGTGAATAAAGTTAGTACTTACTATTTAATAGTTAACCTTTGAGAAATATATTAGAAATTTGAAGTGGTAATTACCCTTTCCATATTCTCCAACCACATTTATGAACTTTTGAAAGTTCTCATCTTTCACGGCATTGAATGGCAACCCAACCGAATATGCCCAAACCGCAAACTCTTTCCAAGCGGCGAACTTTAACTTCTCTTTGATTGGATTGTTTCTATCTAAAGTGGCTTGCTTTATCTTGTCATAATAGAGGCCCGCGAACATCACTAGCGGGCTTTCTTTTTAAACCACGAGGTTGTGTTGAGGCTTGTGCTCGTGCTCGTGCTCTTCCTCCTTCGATAATCTCTATTCCATCTACGTCTTGCTCATCCTCATCAATATCATYAATATCATCAACTTCAACCGAATATTGTCGAAGGATTTCTACATTTCTATTTCGTTCTTTCTTTTTCTTATTCTTTTCACTGATGGATGCTAGAACTCTTTTTTTGATGTCATTACTCACATTAGGACAACCAATGACGTTACTTCCAATGTGAGTAAGGTGTTCTTTCAACCTAGTGATCCCTCCACTCATTTTTTTATCACATAAGGTAGACCATATATTATTTTTTTTGGTTGGATCTTTCCATACCCCCCATTCCCAAGCCATATCACCACTGACGCATTTTGTACCCACTTCTGATGAAGTAGTAGTAGTAATCGGGGTCACAGATGCCCTTGAAGATTGACCCCCTTCTCTACTTTCCATTGCTTTGTTTAGTAATTAAGTTCTAACTTCTAAGTAAGATAAATAAGAATAATTAAGTGAGTGGGTGGGTGATAGGACTTAGGAGTTAGGACATAAGAGTAAGACCTCGAGGCTGGACCAGGAATTGTTGAGGGACAGAGGGAGTAACCAGGAACTCTCAGGTGGCTGCTGTTGCTGTTGCTGTCGCTGCATAAACTCAGGGAGTCAACAAGGAACTCAGGTGCTGTCGATTGCTGTTG